GAGAGAGAGAGAGATCCGACTCGTTCTATTCACCTTTTGATCAAATAGGATGTAAACAAATCCATCGTAACATGCATGCTATCCGAACTGTTTTCAATGAATAAACGGAAATTTCTTGTGCCCATATCACGTACAGTATAATACATTCACGTATAGTATAAATGCTATTTTAAATAATATTAAATATGTTTTCATTTATTATTATATAAATACTAAATTGTGTCTCTTTGTTCGTTATCATATCAACAAATTAGTTAAAAACGATGTGAGTTTTAATTAAACGCTATTTGTTTTCAGCATCTAATGGATTGCTGAATGTATTCGTAAGTTACTACTGAATTTACTAAAATTTTCTTCCATATTTTTGGACAGTCGCCAAGATGACCGTTGATATCATTTTATTATGATTGAAATAAACATTTTACAACCAGTCACATGAACTTTTCCTTTCTTCTCATTCCTCAACTAATTAAGATTTGTTAATTGCTATGAAGTTGTGCGTTTATTTCCAATACATTTATGGGACATTTCAAACTCTTTGTGCTTTCATGAGATACTCCATTTCTCAATATCTCACTACTTAGTTTGAAATTTCAATTAAATGTCCATTTCCCCGCTTTTCTTTCTGGACAATAAGTGCAACAAGATTCTTTCTCACACAGAAATGTTTCTGCTGAGCATCAGATAATTTTCAAATATTTGCATATGAGACAAGCTTGATGAGGATCCATTAAGAAAAATTCAATTCCCTTCAAATAACTAAAATACATGAATGGAATGAGTGAAATCTGTGAGCATTACTGATATTGTTTACTGGTGATGATAAGTTGGTGATTGTGGGTTCCTCAGTATCTCATTCAAGGCCATTGTTACACTTTAGCATAATTATCTGCTACTAATACCACATAAGTTTTGTCAGTTAATTAGCATCAAAAAATGACAAAAAAAAATTTTAAAGCTGGTAAATGTCATCAACATGTTAGTACTTCAAAACCAAATTGACGCAAATAGCTTCCTGTATTTAAACAGAAATACCGTACTGCAAGCTCTTCGCAACTCTAATTTTTAGGTTGTGTATCAGTAAATTTATCCAAGTTATTGAGTCTCCATTAAGATGTATCTGATTAACAGTTATTGCAAGTCATTTTGTTTTAAATTAGCCTATCGTAACTACCGTATCACCATTATTATACATGTGTTTTTTCCCTCGGAAGCTTTTTAAATATTCTTACAGTTCCATTTTTGCAAACATTAAAATATCTCTGTTTTACTGTTGAATTTACTGTTATCAACAAGAAAAGCAAAATTTTTAATTTCATTTCTTCTACAAATAACTCCATTTGCCTAAGTGAAACGTTTCCTTTTCATATCTGTGATTACCTGTAATTATAATAATAAAGGAACTAATCTAGTCATTCCCTTTCTTTGAGCTTATTTCTGATTATTACAAATTACGAGAAATTGGTACATCGAACCAGCTTTCCTTAATTTATTCATAACTTCGTCTTTTCTATGGAAATGGTTGAAATGTCCAAAAATGTCTTTCACACATGGCATTGTTTGAAGGAACAGGAAATATGAAATTTTATTCAAAAATAACTTTATTTTACTGAATTTCAAAGGGAGAAAAATGATTTGAGCACGCAATAAATAATATTTAAAAGAAAGTGTGCTAAGAATAGATTAAACTGAGATCAATAAAACGAAGGATTCAGCAGTATTCTGTATATTAAAAGAGAATACGAATATTTCCAACTGTTTTTAAAAATGTAAAATAGATTTTAATTGAAAAATTAATACCAAATACATCTTCAAACTATTATTACATTATAAAATTTTAAATAAAAAAAAAGTAAAACTGCATCCAATCATTAGTATTTCATGTCGTTATATTTAGTTATATAGTCACTGATGTAGACGTGAGGAATAAAAAAAATTCTTGATGAAATTAGTAGCACTAATTGTTCCTAATATTTTTAGAGATTTTTGAGGTTATGTAGAAATAGTCAGTTTTAAAATTTAAAAACAATAACTTTATGACGATGAGATATCGTTTTTGAAATTTCAGAAATATTTCAGAGTAGCTTAATTTACAATGATTTTATTGTTAAAATATTTTTAGGGTATCGATTTTCAGGCGGCTAACATGTAAGCTGCAATAAATTCTAGCTCATCGCATATAAATTAAGCAAAAAAAAAGAAAAAAATGAATGAATTACGAAAGGAGAACAATAAGCAGAACGAATTTCCGGCAACACCATATAAAAAGCATTTTGGAATAACGCTAAATTTAATCACTCCAGAAATATTCAACAAAAATTTTATTCACGAAACTTTGATCAAAAAATTAACTTGTCAATTATTTTACGGAAACGGTTTCACTGTTATGGAAATTGATAGCATTCGGTAATTGGGTCACATATTTATTAAAATTTCAAGAGCTACCCATTTTCATTTGTTTGGTGGTCAGACAAATTTGTATTATTAGTAAGAAGAAGCAGCAAAATGAAATGCTCAAATTTTCGAAATCTTAATTTTACAATATTGACGATGAATTAATTGATCGCAAAAAGTTTTTTTTTCAAAAAAATTCACTCATTTTCTCTTTCTAAAAAAAAACTCATCTCTCTTTCTCTGCATAAATTAGCAAAACATTTACCAAACAAGTTAAATATTATAAAATTATCGAATTGTTTGGATCAATGCTATAATATTCAGAATTATATTGAAAAACAAATTTTCATCTCACTTAACCGTTCTCAAGCATGATGTACCGAATTTCGTTTTTTTGAGAAAATAATCGTACAAAAATTAATGAAACCATTTGAAAATTTAAAGGACGAAGATAAGAACAAATTTTGGATTCAAATACTGAAAACACAATAATAACCAAATAATTAATTATGACAACGTTAATTTGAACAACTTTTTATATACATTTATATACAAATATTAATTATGATAGTGATAAAAATGATTTTTCGGGATATGAACATTAACCAATAACAAATTTTGCATCCAAAGTAAAGATTTAAAGCCTTATTTTGGATTAATGCAACAGTAAGACGATATTTTCACAACCTAGCTTAATGATTTGAAAATTATTAATTATTGTAGAAGGTGAGTGGAGAAATTTCCAAGTTGGAATTCAAATATGCATCGTTTTTCTAAGTTTTTGGAACTATTTCTCTCACTTTGCCAACTTTTATAATAAATAAATAATAATAAATAAATATTTATAATAAATAAATAAATGGGAATGAAAGAAAACATAGTTATGAAATATCAAACTTTTCTTTTAGTTCTTCAGTCTCATTTATCATCAACATTGTTGTTATGAGAAATTTCCTCAAGCAACAGCCAAACCTTTATTATGAAATTTACTTGATTTCTAATTTCATTCAACCATTATTGCTTGATATGTAGGATTCTTCCACTTTTCAAACTAATCAATAAAATTTTAGACAAATTATTTCTTATTCTAAATTTAGGTCCTAAATCTCGCCAGATTTTTCAGTCCATCAATTCAATAATCCAATATTTCTATCAGCTTTACATTTTGCAATCAAAAATAGTTACAAATTACTTTTAGTGCTCCTTCTTTAACAGTTAATGAAAGCAACCAGATTATAACAAATCGAATAACTAATTAGGTGCTCCATTTCACTGAAGTGAAATTGAAGTAACAAACTCCCTCATGAATGCTTTTTGAGATTTGAAATCAAATGAAGATTTCATCTGCTGTTAGAAGAAATTAGTTTGGAATTATGCAAATTAATGGATGAATTAATAAAAAGGAAGAAAGAAATAAAAAAAAAGAAAGAAATATTGCAGCTGCTGAAACACGAATAAATAAAATTAAAGAAAGCGGGGACCCGAGTTCCGCTCCGAAACACACCGATGAAGAAAAAAAATGAAACGCACTTTGTTGGAATAATTGCTGCCATAGAACAGTATCACATCAAACCAGCAGCTGACATTTTGTTATCTGTAAATTAAAAAGAAGTGGAAGTTCACTCAAAATACTGATTTAATATCCAGTAGTCTGTAAAATTACAGAAAAATATTTATATCCAATAATCATTAATTTTTACAGGCTACTGGATAAAAACTTATCGGTATTTACTACTTCAGTACTTCAATTTGTATTTTAAATATTCTTTAAAGTTAAATCAGCCATCCTAACCTTGTGCCTAGTTGAAACCGAAAGTAAAACGTCAAAAGTGAAAGCAAATATAATCATGGAGCTTTTCTCAATATTTCCAATTGATTTCTTCGACTGATAAGTCGCAACTTAAGGAGCTCAATAAAAGTTATTTTATAGTTTATAAGGAGCCAAGTTCTAGTTGATTATGCTTACCAAAGAAATGTCAGAAAGGAATGAATGCAGTAGAGATGATATGGTCTATCGGCATCCACAACTGAGTACTTCCATATCGGGATAGTTCTTGATGACAATTTTACCTTCAACATCGATATAAAGGATTGCTAGAGATTCCATTTCAGTTGGGACACAACATGGGGCTGGCACTAGGCTTGGATCCACTGAGTTGATAAGGCCTTGTACTATGGCGTGATTCGTCGTGTTGAAATGGCTAGTCAGCGGATTCGGGCATTCACCCTGACATTGGTAGGCACTATAGCTTGCTGTAATTACAATGTTAATTAATTTTAATTCATTTATTATTCATTGTTTGAGATTCTTGTCCAAAGTTTCATTTTGTCTAAATTATTCAAAAAGATGATTTGGCTTCAAAAGATAAAGAAACATATTAAAATAGTTACACGGAGCCAAAATCCAATCCTGCCAGTTCAACTCATTAAAATCAACTAAAAGTTGGGTACGGCGACAGTAATTTTTGTTAGTTGATCTATGATCGTGTTTTTTATGTTGATGTCGTCGTCGCGTATTTGCTTTCCGTTTTTTTCGCACCTAAAATTGTGTACCTTATCTAACTATAATTTTATATGTGTTTGGAGCAATTAAAGAAATTACTATTATAGAATTTGCTTCGGTGCGGTCATAGAGCGCTAGTAAAAAAGTAATAAGCATTACGCTTCCAAAACACATCCGATCTACTTAATACTTGATACCGATAGAATAAGAAATACGAATGATAGGAAAAGATGTTTCGAACCCTGGCAGTGTCATCAGTTTGAACATAAATGACCAGTGCAGAGGCTTGCTTCCAATCGTACGGCGAGATGGAATATGATGTTGGCTGATGTGATGTGCTAGCATATGTTGTCAAAAGACTGCTCGATAATTTCATAGCGAAATCAATCTGAAATATTTAGATTATCATCAAAAACTTTGTTATTGAGCATTGCCAGGCCTAATACAAGTGCTGTGATTATAACAGTCAGCGTTATGTTGAATTAAACTTAGAGATTACGCCAAGAAAATTTCTTTTTATTGATCCTCAAAGTATTGCATGCCGTAAGTTCAATACACATACTTTATTCATATCCGGTCGTTTCCTACGTATTGCTTCTGTGACATCCATTTCTACCCATTGGTAATTTTCCCGAAAATCACTCTCAATAAACTTAGCATCGATTAACCTGTAATACCAAGCATACATTTAAAAATATACTAGAGATTAAACAAGCTATCGATCAAATAGCTTAACGAATAAAAATTAAGATTTGATTTGGATTTTTTCAAATTTGAAATAACGAAACTTAAGAATTTCAATTCATACTACTAAAGTATTCTCAAATTTTTAAAAATGAATACACAGATCATAGGTGAAGGAAATATCACCAAGTCCACCATTATTTTAAAATCATTATTAAAGAAGAAATGAATATAGAATATTCGCCAAAAAATGATTTCTTTCAAACGATACAGCCTTTCCACATTCTTACCTCCATATTTCGGAATTTCTCTGATCAACTTCATAAATCTTGATATGTTTTCGATTATTCTCATTTCGCAATTTTAGTTTCAGTTCTGCTCGATTAACTATCTCATTGGTGATATTTCGTACAGTAACCGATAGATCATATTGAAGTAGCAGGGTACTAAAAATACTCATTTTTATCTCAGATTGTAATTAAATTCTAGCCAGCGTAGTAGCATCTTACTCTACCATTAAGTAAGTACTTTTAAAGGGTTTAAAATGATACCTATTATCTAATTCCATAATACTATGTGGATAATAATGTCGAACCCAAGCTATATCTTCCTTCTTCACATTTTCATAAATACTCCACATATAGTATGGAACCGGTATCGTTGGCTTGATTTGTTTTGGCTGCTCTTTCATTCCAAATCTGAATCATAAAAATGAATATTAAAAAGATTTTCCAATATGAAGATAAACTGGTGAAATGAAATTAAATAGTGATAAAATGGACGGATAATGTCTCCAAGATTTTATCAAGATACTGTCCAAGTTAGACTATAACGTTAATTTTATAAGAAATGTTTTAGTGCATTTTAAAATTCACACTCATAGTAATTTAAAAAAATTAAAATTTTTGAAAACCAACTTTCTCAAGAACGCTTCCCTTAAAAGTTGAATTTCTTGTTCACTGAAACGGCTTGTGACAGTCGGTGGAAGATTTGTGGTAGCTGCTGATAGTGATGTTACCAAACTATAGAAGATAATAATTAAGGGAAATAGTACTGACTCTAATATCTTCAACGATGGAATTTGCCGTTGCGCACGATAGCAGTGATAGTTTCGCTTCTGTTCTATTTCTTCAACAGTAATTGTTCTTCTGGTGAGAACTTTAGTAGTAGTTGCAAAATTAGTTCTAATAGTGGCAGTTACAATGAGAGCAGCAGAAATGGGAGTAGTAATTAGTTGGTCATGCACTTTTACGCGCTGTTCAACTAAAATTTCTGGCTTGAAGGATTCCAAAAATTTGTTCATTTTAGGTCACAATGGTAGAAGAGGATCACAACAGCTACTGAGAACTGCATTGAGCCTCTTGTCCTTCTCGAATTGTGATGTCCCTACTATCGCAGTTATTAACTGTGATAGTGATGATAATGTGGCTAAGAAGGATTTCCTTTTTGTTTCAATGATTGTTGATGGTCGAAAGCTTTCAGTAGAGATTGTTTCTTCTGATGCTTAACAAATTTTGAACGAACTTTTTATTTCCTCTTCTTCTTCAAATGCTTCAATTCATTGGCAAGCATATCTGTTACAGTTGTTTCCACCAATTTTAAAGAAATGAAAAGATCGGTATGTCTGATGAGGAATTAATCTGCGATATCAGCATCGCTGATAATGCATGCAGAACACTAAAGGTTGCGCCTCGGTCTATAGATCTCGATGCTAGATTCTTTTATTTTTTACACAACGACGTCCTTCCTCTTTGCTTGTGATAGTGTTTTCACTTTCTTTTTTAAATACGTGTAATTTCTTCTCGCTACGTGTTTTATTCTTCTTCCCTCCAACCCGACTTTACTCTGTGATACTCGATCGAGTCTAAACAGCACTTCGGCGTCTGAAATATGATTCAAATTTCAAAATACTTTATCAAAATTGGCCAAAATCGCGCATTTTAGACGATTGATAACCGCACCTTCCACATTTCTTCCTTAACTGATACTCTTCTTTCTTTTTCAAGTCACCCTTCGCTAAAATTTTGAAAATGAATTCCTCTTACTTAAGATAACTAATAACAATTAAAAGGAAATATTTTTGGTGCAATTTTGGTGCAATGTTGTCACCAACTTGCTCTATCCATCAAACAGAGTAAATGTCAATGAATACTAATTTTCAATGAGTATTAATTTTTTTAATTAAACTTTAATGAGTACTAACACATTCATTTTACAAGAAGTCAAATTCGATCATATTTTACATCAAGTCCTTTCTTTTCGATTTCTTGTATTTAAAGTTAATTTATTAGATTTCGACCGAATTTTCATCCAAAAATTCTTACCTTTTACAAAAGCGAATGAGCAGCATAAAAATACTCGAAGTACTAACACTTTACTTTGTTTATCAGCATGATAATTTGGTGCAATGCTTACATTAGTTGGAATATTTCAGAGAGGATAACAGTGGGATCCATTCTTTCTGTAGTCATTGTTGGTTCATAAGTTAATTAGACTTTAATGAATACTAATTTTGTTTTCTACTCTTTCCTAAAGCGATGTCAATTCTTAGAATCAATAAAAGGATCTGATAAAGCTCACCAATGCAAATTCCTTTAAACGAGAACATACAGCAATTAATGACCTATTAGTGTCCATGTGTTCGTCTAAAATTTATTTGCTCTAGCTACAGTGATTTCATTGCAGCATACAATTCCCACTTTTGGAATTATATAAGAGCATAGAGATCTTATAGTGACGGATAGAATTCTTCCACTCCCCACTTCTGGATTCAATTAAAAAGTTTATCAAGCAATTTTTCCATCTTGTGCAAGCATAATTCAAGACATCAAGAAAATTCATCACAAATATCAGAGAAATCAGGAAAGAAAAAAATTGGAATGTTACAACTTTAAAAGACCATTGAATAGCAAACAGAATTAAAATTATCGAAAAAATGTTCCCCCAGAAAAGGCACAATTTTATTGAGATATATGAATCGTCTGAAATCTTTCTGTAGAAAGAAGGGAAAGATGTAATCAGTTAGGCATGGCATTTCAATGTTGTGGGAAGGATGAATTGTAGGTTTGTTAATGGAAAGAAAGGATTCATTGGGATAGTATGATGCATATTTCGTTTCATCAGCAATGCAAATATCGCATTATAGCTAGAGATAGAAGACTTAAATTGAATTGTGTTCTCTTGAACAGTATAGTATCCTGACAAGCAGGAAACAAAGTGTTTTTAACAGACAAAAAATTACGGTAACGATATGTTCCATTTTCCACTTCAAAAATACCAACGTCTAATTTTTGGTAACTTCAATCAGGAATTGATTTTAATCACTTCTAATTTTTCAGTTGCTCTTACGCTGTAAGTTCTGGAATACTCAATTCCAGTTGTAATATCACAGCTTAATTAACCTGAGATTATTTTGTTAAGCCTCTTACACCTCACTTGCTCAATACCTGGAATATGGACGGAATATTAAAATGTGAAATGAGAATTTACATTTTAACCATTCGTCAATAAGAAGTAATCGACGATATTCCAAAATGGATGTTAAACAGCCATGCAAAATGTGATATTCCAACCAAGCAGTTTTTTTCAGATCTAACGAATAAGCCCACAACTGCTCTAGAATATGCTAAAAAGAACTTGGAAACTAAATCTGATTCTTAACTTTTGATTTTGAAAATCCTAGATAAAATAGGTTCAAGCAACAAGCAATTTCAATCATCGCATACAGTTGATACTTATGTCTTTGCAATCCATTCACTGATTGCAGTTTTTTTTGAAATTTACTTACTTCTGATAAAGTAGATAGGAAAAAAAATTGATGTCAAACACTGAAATATCAAAACGTCGATATTCTGACACAATGATACATCAATGTGACAAAATATTGAAATACAAACACCTTATCAAAATCTATAACTTGGGCAAAAATTTAGGGGAGATAATTCTCCAGACTAGCCAATTTTTTCTTTTCTCAGTTGGAAAATCAATATAAACAAGAATTCGCTGCTTCTCTGCTTTTTCAGCTCATATTTCAAACATGACAAATTAGTTCATCTCAAGTACCAGCAATTTTTTCTTTTTTTGTATTTGTGAAGAAGACTATTGGTATCTCTTGAAAACAAGTTTGCTTTGTACAATTTATAGAGAACAGGGAATATGTCATCAAAGATTCCTAATTCGTACCATATTTAGAAGTAAATGGAAAGTGCAAAATTAAGAGAGTTTTCATTTATAATATTATAATATTAAATTTCGAAGCATCAAAAACATTGTCTATTAAAGTGACTGGATGGAGATTCGTGGTCATTTGATTTTGATTTAAAAACAGTAATAACAATGTCGGATTAACAGGACGAGTAAAAATTTGAAAGTTACAATGGACAGTGGACTAGCTGGTAGCCATAACGATGAAATTCCTCAGAAGAGAGGCGTATTCAGGAAGTTTATCTAAGTGAATCATATTGGTCTAAAGAACTGATAAGTAAAAACAGAAATTGCGTCATAACAATCTCACTGGCTTTACCATAATGTATTTTCGTTTGATATAGAATAGGAAGCTCTTGCAATAGTTTGTTTTATTATAGAGATCTTTAACACTGATGACTCATTATATGTATCAACCCTACACGTTTTTTTTAAGGTAACATTTAGAAGTTTCAGCATACCTATTTCATGTTATGATTGACGTAAAACAAGCTTTTGTGAGAACTAGTCCGCAGAATACAGTATGTATCGTCAAGTTTCGGGAAAGAGTAAATGAAATTAAATAAGTACATATGTGCCTAATATTTAACAAATACCGGGACACAGTTCTATAGGTTGATGAAACTTAGGATCAATATAGGAGAAATAAATAAGCAATTGTATATATACATGCATACTTATCTTTTAAAATAATTATATATGGACTGGCCACAATGACTTTTAAGTAGTTGAGAACGAAAAAGGGAAGAAGTGTAGATAAGGTTTCGTTACATGTAAACAGTGGTGATGATAGTGATGACAACACTGATGATGATGATGATAATGATGATGATTAATGATACCGTGAGGAACATTTCCGCTAGCAGTGGAACAGGATGTGCTCACGATTTTTTCACTCTAATTACATGATGATTAAACTTGAGCTCTATGAGGCAGACAGCACATCTGCTACGGAATATTTTTGTAAAAAAATCGCCTGATTCTTGTATTGATATCATACAGCTTTAAATTAAAAATAATCTTTCAAACAATGACTTTCTTTCTATTTAATTATTCTGGAGTATTTTACTGAATTAATTCCGGTAAATTAAAAACAAACAGTATTGGAATGCAGCGAAATTCACAATCCGTGAATATAAATACTAATTAATTTTAGAGACTCATGAAACATAATCCTACAGAAAATTAAAAACTAATTGAGGAATTAAAAGTTCTAATTGTATCCAAAGTATTCCTCAGCACTCTGCTTAGTAATACAATCCTTTAATATAATAAAAACTTTCCGTCCCCAAATACATCTATAAATAGCAACATTTTTTAAAAGAGAGAAAAAACCAAGAAGAATATCCTCAGGACGACATTATTTCATATAATTATAAATCATAAGCCATTCGAGAATGCAAAGGTTTTCAATACTTCTCGGGTTCCAAAATATCGAAAAAAATGAATGAGGTTATTGATTCATTATTACTATCATTGAAATGTGTCCTTTATGAAAATAATTTCATCGAGAAATTTGTGGAATTTTTGCAGCAACTCATCTGAGAGAGAAGGAAGAAAGCACTTAGTCATTCATTCTCTCCCGTTTCCCATACTTCTATACACCTGTCTTGCCCGCGAAATCCTTTCACCTTCATCGCCTTATCATGCAAACTATATTATAATAAATGCCATCAGGATCCAATTTTTAGTAAGACTTTCAAGAATTAATGAGACATAATGATAAGTTGAGACGACTTGGTAATCGGCTGGTGACAAATATGTTGAACAAAGCAAGTTGTTCCAGAATTGAGAATCTGCGTACTACAGCAGTTTCCAGTAGAAGCAGTAAAGTTATAATCATATTTTATATAAAAAAAGATTGCAAGATTTTTAGGGAGCTATCACATCGTCATTTCTGCTATCTGTTCGAGATATCTTGGTAAAGAGTAGATGTACCAGATGGCACTTCTGTCAATTTTATTTGAAAGAATGATTGCTTCCAAAAATGCACAAAATTGATGTTTTGAATGTATAGGGAAATTTACATAAAGACTAATCAAATTTACTAACAAAAAGTTTAAGTTGTTAATTACTGATAAGGAATGAAATAAATATGGAGTGCTCAAAATAGAATAAAACCCAGTCACATGATTTTTTCATCAAGCCTAAATAAGAGATAGAGCAGAAATGCGGGATTATTCACTATCTTCAAAAAAGAATGAGTATGGGGTTTATCATGAAAATAATTACACCAGTGAGTGATCAGGCTAACATCCCTCAAACGGCCAAAAAATCAACTATGAACGGAAATGCATTTGCTATCCCAATCAATTCCATCAGTTAGCATTCCGAAGTAGACTATTATGACCAGCTATCATCAGATTACACAAAAATGCAATTAAACCAGAGGGAAGAATTCTCGATATGATAAAATTGAAATGCATAAAATGGAGCGGATTGACACAGGTAGCAAAAGGATTGAAAACCGAGCTGTCACATCGGTGAGAGGCTTTAATCTGTTGCGATATGGTCATTTACCTAATTGCTACTTAATATGTCTTTGTGGCCTTCTAACTTGTCTCCTCTCTTCTCTTCATAGAAAGTTCATTTTTTGATTATGTGGTATATTGCCATGCTAGTGCTACCTTTGCTAATTTGTTTAATCTAAGGATTTTTATGCCAATCCACCACACTTCCAACATCTCTTCCTCCCAGTTCCTTTGTTGCATCGAGTAAGCAATCCTTCTCAAACCAATCTTTTTTTCAACCTGCCACTTTTTAATTACAGGTATCGAAATGCATGAAGATCTGAAATCGACCTGGAAGTATTTGACATTTGAAGTAAACAGTAATGTTGTTGAGTGAAGAACGAACAGGGATTGAGGCTATGAACACAATGTATACGGCTAAAATTATTGCTACTTCATTTTTCGGACTATTTTTAAGAAATCATATGCTTACATAGAATTCGCATATAGCATTCAATAATCCTTAATGTAACTGTCCTTCTGTCACTATCTCTCCTGAAATCCTTCCTTTTATCTTTTCCTCCCCATTACCTTTTTATGTATTTGAATCCATTCCGCCTTCTTCTCAGCTTTCCATTTCGGAAATATCGACCTCAGCCATTATTCCAGCAAATTTATCATTGAAAAGGGAGAAAACAACTCAGGTTATAGCACTTCACCAAGAAATTTAATCTATCAGCAATGGTGTGCATCTTGAATTTTGATAAAGTATGGTAAAAGCGAGGTAAATTTCGACACCATACGCCATCGGAAATTCTTATTTTAGACTTCAATTTAAGAAAAAAATCGAACTTTTGGGCCACTAGCAGACATAAGTGATTTCATTGTTGACATCGATAAAAAGATGATTGTCAAAACAGAAATAAATAATAAATAGTAAAAATGATTCGTGCAGAATAGTAGTATGCTCAATGGAACAATTGTTATGATGATCAAAATAGCGATGGGTGGTTCCTTTGAAGAATCCTGAAATTCGGACAATCGGGATGATGAAGCGAGACAGTATCAGATATCAAAAGTCTTCAATCTCCCTAAAACTTTTCAAATAAGAAGAAATCGTTATGTCCATCAATTTCACAAGACAAACTATCTTTCAAATAATACTTAGCAATAAACTTCCTCTTTTTTAAACTTATCTCTGGGAAACAAGTTCTGTGTGTTAACGTCAAAAATTATAAGCTACTATAACAGGGAATGTTTAAATTAACATTATCAATACACTCCTGCTATGCTTAAAGTATCAATTTTCGTTAGACAGTATATGATAGTACTTTTCTGATTACAGATTCCTACTGTAGATGTTGCAATTCTCCAGCAGCTCCAGCTGGTAATTAACGATATGTCTTTGTTCTTTAGTAATTTGTATGCTATTCAGCATTTCATTGTTATTACCTACAGCAACTCAAATTTGACTGTTGCAAACAGAAGTTTGTTAGTGTTTTCAAAACGAATTGAGATTTGAGCAAATTACGCGAACTTCTGTAATTGGTTTAAACTACAACGTGAATAGAAGTTAACTAGAAACGTTACAAAACGTGAAGCTAACAGCGGAATCTGCTTCATCTGAATCGAAATATATTCATCTGAGTCAAAATATATATATAGGAACCATACCTATACAAGATTTGTGTAGCTGTGATTCGTTCGATAAGTGTCAACCGGCTAATAATTTCCAAGAAAAGATAAAATAGAAAGGAGTTTTTCGATGCTACTATTAAAGCTCAACCGGCAGCAAAATGATGAAATCTGAATTGCGGTTAACATTTGATCTTCAAAGGAAAATTGAATGTTCTTTTTGAAATATAATATAACAACAGTATAGAATGAAATATGAAGAGAAAAGAGAGAAAAAGGAACAATTATCCATTGACAAAATGGCTGAACTACGGCTAACATTAGTTCCTCAATATTTGGACATTAACCAAATATTTGGTCCATAATTTCTTTTGGCCAAGAAAAATGAATAGTACCTTGAGAAACTACATGAGTTAAAAATAATTTCCCAATGTTACACTCATTGTTTCATTATATTAATCTGGTAATTCAAACAGTAATTTTTTGTTTGTATTTTGTGAACAAATAGAAATCAACTTAAACGGCAAGCCAATTTCAATCAAAAATCATTCGAAACCAAAGGATGCAAATATTGAAAGAAATCCAATCACAGGAAAATTGTCACCTATATAAAAATCTCTTCAGTAATTGATCTACACAATCCAATGAAATATTACTGACGAGAAATTACTTCTAAATATTTACATCCCGACTAGTTTTTTAATTTTTCTCCACTTCTAATTTAATTTTTGTTCCTTTTTTAGTGAACAACTCGACACCAAAAACTTTTGTCGATAACTTTTGTTCCAATCAGTTGCAAGAAGTTAGTAAGGAAATTTATTTCAAATTAAAATAAGATGTTTCAACGAACTGAGTCAAAGTAACCTTTTTGACCAAAAATGGTGTCGACCACCTTCCTAAGCAGTCATTTTAAAGTAAGTACTCAAGAAGAGAACAAAAATAAACATCATTTCTTGGTTTTTATGTCCTGCCTCAGATTTACGAATTAAGCACTGAGAATCCGGAATCAAGTTTGGTAGATTTAGTAAGCTCTATATATTTGAATTGCTTCATCATTACAATCCTTCATTTCTTTGCGTTTTTCTGTAAGAGAGACACCTAAATTTTTAAGGCCAAATACATCTTCTTGGCTATAAAGACAGTGTATTCTGTCATGATGATTGGAAAGTTTTAGCAGTGTGTTGCTAAAAGATCTCCTTGGCAGAGATATGAAACTACGGAAATAACATTTCGTCATTGTATTTGGAAAAAATAATATATTTTTTCTTGAACTAATTTGATGACTTAGGACTTGCGATGAACAGAGGTAGACGTTGAGGAATCCCATAAGACATTTCAACTGCACTTGAGCAATTTTTTTGTAAACGGAAGGAAGAGAAATTTTAGTATTTTCCAGAATCAAGGAAGTGATGAAAATGTCTTCTCATTATCCTATGAGTAATTAGTTTAGTGATAGTGATTAACAGGAGAATATGGTTGACGATAACATAGTGGAGAGAGAGTAACATAATTGGATGACATTGCTGACCTCGAAGATTCATTTCTTCGCCATGTCGAGTAGTTACCATGAAAACTATTGGAAATGATGATCGTATGCGGCAGATTCCAGTTTAGGGATCAGACCTTCGCTTCTTACCTTTCTTCAGAAATCGTTCGAACAATCTGGCAACTAGGGCAGATAGTGTGAATGCAAATCTGATAATTCGGCTAATTATGACTTATATTGCTCGGCGACATCAGATGCTTTTCCGTGTAGCACACTTCAGACACTGTCTTGTCGTTCTCAGACGACAACACTCGGTATTGATGAAAGGTAAACAGACAATTATGGTAATATTTAGTACAGAACTGAAAATTCAGGCATTAATTAACAAAAGTAAGATTTTCAAATTATTAATTGATAAAAATACAGAACAGATAACTACAAGAGATAAAACTTTACTGATATTAGTAAAAAGTGGGAGAAAAAAGATGAGGAAGTGTTTAATCCTGTCCTTTTTATGTTGCATTGAGTTATTGGTAGTAGTACAGATGCGCTCAATGGCGGCATCACACTCTCGCCCTTCATATCACGACAAATGGACAATGTAGGAAGAGCGCTGAGCAGCAAAAAAAACATCAAAAGGCAGAAAAAGTGGCGCCGTCTATATTGGATACTGTAAAATTATGTATAATTCCCATAACTACTACTACTACTACTATTACTACTACTGCTACTACCACTATTATTATTGACTACTACAAGTGTTATCACGTAACACATGAATAGATCAACAGTTAATTGGAATGAAGAACGGATGCATGCTTCATGCAAAATTGTGGAATTTTATTTCCCTCTAATTTCGAAACAAATATTCAAATTGAATCTTAATAAAGTTCAGAAGATGCAATAAAATGTTTAAAATTTATATTTGAGAAGGCTTATATTTGATTAGTTAACAATTTAGTCAATTAAGCCGACATATAAACTAAGTGCAAGTTAGCAAAACTGAAGGGAACAGTTCGAATTAATAATAATTAATATTTGTTATGAAGTTGGAGGATATATTTCCAATAATTGTGCAAAAATTGAATAACAAAAAGTAACTGATATACTCCTAGAATAACCAATGTATGAACTGATTTCTGACCTGTTGAATGGACATCACTTATCAGTTTTAAATGAAGTCAACTGGACACTAAAATACAAATGAAAACAAAAAATGGGTGGACTAAACAAGGTCAACAAATTGAAAATGTGCGAAGAGACAATTATGCAGTAAAACAGGTACAATATAAAATAAGTTGTGTTTCAATAGATGCGATAAATTACAAATGATTCATCCCACAAGTTTTTTGAGCTTCAAAGTTAAAAATAATGACATAAAAGGTTTGAAATATAATGGAACAAAAAATGATGTTAAGGAATTCACTGTGAAAGATGACTGAATTAACATTTACATATTTTGGAGGTGCAAAGTTCTTGACAAGTTTCTAATGGTATTTACAAATGCACTGCTAATGAGGTGCAAGACATGGGGTGGCAATTAACGAATCAAATCTACTGTAATGTGAAATTACTTTGTTGCATATTGCTTGAAGCATTATAATTGATTCATGGAAAATGCTAGCCTTAATTAAAGAGGAAGAAGGACTTTCCGGAAATCTCAAACAAACATTGTTAGTAATTTGTTGAGAAGCTAACTGTGATCAGAAATTAATTTATTTAGTCATTTTTATCACTTTCCCTCATTAGCTTAATTGTAAATTTGATAAAGGAGAAAAGAATTCACAAATGGGAAGTATTGGTAAGAAAAAGTCGTATAAACCATGCTGTTCCACATAACTGCACAATAACTTTATATGTTATAACTCTTAAGAAGCTTTCCAACCAAAGCTGTCTATCGGTATTTCTTATTTAAGAAGATATATCAGCTAGTTGTTCATCCTAGAATTTCAAATCCAGAGAACTCCCTTGAAAGAGCGAAATAGCGACATGATCAAACATTTATTCAGTGTCTCAACAACTGCAGAGCATTGCGCTCTGTCAACGGTCTGAATGTGATCCAGAATAGAATCGAGTAGATTTCAAAAAATGGATACTGTATGGTTTGACCATTCTATGTTGTCGCTCGCAACTAGTATGGTGACTAACCTTTTGTACGGTGCATGCGCTATATCTTCCAATATATTGACCGATCAGCTGTCTATCTCAATCGCCTACATACTGTCAATTTCAATTTCGAATTAGTCACAAGCCGATGTTTTTCAAGGAAACTAGATACTCCACTATAAAAAATCTGAACAAAAGATTAGGAATGATAACTATGGGAAAGTGACATTTTTAGTCTTATCCATCATTGAACGGGAAATTTAACGGAAAAAATTAGCTTAAAGTATGGCTAGTTTCTCTGATTCATTTTCTATTTTTGTTGTGATAAACACTACGAGGTGGTTGAATTGTTCGCATTTTTTCACTGCTTGGCCAAAAATTTTTTCGAGAACGACGGCAAAATGAAAGAAGTACTTACATATAATATTCCTGATTCTCAAGTTCTAATCCAGTAGATTTTACAAAGGCTTTGACAATGAGATATTTTTATCATTGAGGAACTAAAAACAACAATGAAGTTTTGGAAATGTGGTCAGATTTTTGATTTTTACACACACTCCTAAGAACACAAACACTTCAAAATTTGCCTTCCAAGTTCTACGAACGAAATTGCAGAAACGGTTACCGCAGATTGCAGATCATAATGAAGGGGAAAGAAATTCTCATAACTCTTATGCAAATTTTCTGAATATCTTTAGAAGTCAAATTATTTGTCTGAATCAAGTTTCTGAATAAGATTAAAAATTTTCCTTTATCTGTAAATGAATTTTTATCATAGCATCACAAGTGTGGGATGTAATCAACAAGTGATCAAAGACTAATAATCTCTTAACGTCTTAAATAGAAGATGAAATGGAATAGGATTGACCGTTTGGATTTAACTAACAGATGACTGGATGCAAGACGGACTGAGAATAGAAACTGGTTAAAGCTGGAGTGCAGGTTCACGATATTTCTAGTGACCAACTGAAATTAAAAAGGACACATTGATGGAATCCTAAGGTCAATTAGTTTTTATTTAATGACAAATGAGTAAATAAGGGCAATTTGGAGAAACCAAAATGCTAAAAAAGAAAATGCAAGAAATTTCTCAAAGCTTCAGGAACTATAATTCCCCGCGTCCCTAATTTGTAATAATTCCAAACTTTCTTGTACAATGTGGAAAATTTTCATTATTCGATGAATTTTAGTCATTTAACAGAAATATTAGTGGTTAGTTATATCAAGTAAATTGCCATGAATTTTAGAAAAATCATAGTTTTGAAATAATAGTTTGATATAATGTATCTTGTCAGCTCTCTTATTTTTCAATTTTGATGAAAAGTATATATTCAACAATCGAAGATCTCTTACAACTAATAAAATATATCAAGTTTTTTATGATCTTTCCAGAGGTCGCAATAATTTTATATTCACATGTCCACCAGTTATATTGGTCATGCATAAATTACTGGAAGGATGGCAAGTATTTGCTTACAAAGTAATCTTCACTATTTCAGGTAAACAATTGCTCCTCCTTCCCACATGTGAAAGAATAAATTTCAATTCCGTTCAGGATTATTTATATCTATATTTAACACTTTCCTGTCAGGCATCAAATCATTCGTTCGCACATAAAATGATGACATGTGAAAGAATGAATCTCGTAATAGTTCAGTTCTTCGTATCATCGCCACGTCCTGAGTGAGTGGGCTTCAAATAATGTGTGAAAAATGTCGGTATACAGATTAGTGGCTAGTAAAAACTTTTGCAGAATTCAGTGGCGAATACGGTGTCATTGTTTATACGATATTATTGAATTCCGCGATCTCAGGTTTAATACGATCTTAACTGCAAATAGAAGAAACCAGAAAAGAAAAATAAAGCGGATGTGATGCAAGAAAGATGCGGATGTCCAAAATCAAAATGCAATGAAGAAAAAAAAGGAAAGTAAAAGAAAAAACAGGCGGAAAATTATAAGTCTGTCCTAAATGGTGAGTAGGGAGACACTGTTGGCAGCAAACGGGGGACATCGAGTCCTGGGGAGTTGCGAAGAGAAAAAAGAGAGGAGTCTTTGGCGCCGCGACTCGGCGCGGCCCATATATCAACCTCCGTTTTCTACTTCGACACCTCTTCCATGCTCCGCTTCTGTCCTGTACACCTTTTTAAAGCGACGACGCTAATTAATCTTCAACTACTTCAGATATAGACATAGATTATTTACCTCCTTTCATATTCCTCTTTAAAGCCCACAATTCTATCTGTCTAACTTTTTGTGTCAAATGTTGCAAACGGAAAAAAGTGACGAAAAGCGTTCATGCCTTGAGAACCCGTCTTTCAACTTCTTCATCCAGAATTGTTGGCGGCTGGACCTTTTAATCCTCCTAAACTACCCAGTGCTTCATTGTGTAGTAAGTGGAATTAAATTAGCGTGAAGCTTCGATCAGTGTCATATTAAAACAGAACAGAACATGCATTTCGCATAGTACGGGCCAACCATGCGTTTCACATAGCACATTTTTTATATTTAATAGCTTGAAATATAATGAATATATCAAGTTCAGGCTTCATAGTTCCTAAGCAGTAAACAAAAAGTCAAAGGTGATGAGCATTTTTAAGAAGCATATTCTTCGCAACTACTTGTCTTGCAGAAACTCAAGAAAACGAGAAAGACACTATGGTTTGATAATGGATACAAACTTGTCGAGTAGTAAAATCTGGAGTTGAGGCAATATCGAATATCCCATTACTTTCCTAGAACATTCTCCCTGCACTGATCAAAAGATTGGTGACTAGTCCAAAGACAGGATAAGATATAAAATCAAAAAGTTTTAGCTTGCATCAGATATTAATGGCATACTACGAAATTTGAGAATAAAACGTGTCAAGTTCTGGCGCACTTTTAAATCACATATCATTTTTACTGACTGTAATGGAACATAGTCTATTATACTCAATAAAAAGTATCTGACTATTTTTTTGACATTGCCTTCTCCTTTCAGTTTCAGTCTGGATGAGATCATGAGGAGAAAGTAACACTGATAAGATACTTTTAGCACATTTTGACGGAAAAACATCGAATTTTTGTATGAATTTAGAGAATTGATTTCTGAAAAACATCTGCTAGTAGGAAGAAAAAAAAAAATTTTAATGCAATACAAACAGAGTACGGTTTTTTAATGAAGAACTATATAAGAATAAAGAAAAAGGCTTTGCCCGTATTGCATTCAGGACGACCTCGAATGGATCTGTTTAGGAAATTCGTTTTTTCAAAGAAAACTATCTGATAAGAAAGCATGTTTGAAGGTACAACAGTGTTGTGTTGCACACTGACCTCATCCATCATTCAGTTGTCAGATTTTCTTCTATTCAAATAAACAAAATATTACTGCCAACGACAATGATGATATGTGGATCCTCATCATGTTCAACTTAATCCATAACAGCAATATGATGGCGCAACAGGGATTAGAGTGATGATTGTAATCATAACGACAATAACAACTTGCGTTTGTCACAGGTAGGATAGAATGATAGTAGCGAATATTTCTGATGCGACAATGACTCTGCTTGGAAGCAATCATAAAACTCCTTTTCTTACTCATTTAATTTTAAATCACTTTTTCGAAAACATTGGAAGGAAACACTCGTTTTTCATTCACCATTATTTAGATAATTTCGGCTGACGAAGAATAACTTCGGTTATATGTTTAAACGAGGTGACAAAGAAAGGGCAAAAAGAAGAGAAGTAAGAGAAAAGAGGTATAAGTTATGATTTTCTGACCGTTATTATGATTACTAAATATAATCTGAATCATCTATTTTAGATGTTAATTAAACATACCGTTCTTTCTATTTGAAAAATCTTTTAATCATTATTTTACGACTTCCTAATTTTTTTGATTTATGTGATTAGGAAAAGCTTGAAGTACAACTGACGCGTTTTATCTGAGTTAAATTTCAAAATCGGAAATTATTAAAAATTAATTTTATATTTAGTTTTCACATATATCGAAATACTTGTTTCATCTATTATACTTTCTTACAAAATAAGGAATTTGTCCCAAAGTTTCATAATATACAAAAAATATAACAGAAGATATTTTGGTTGAGACACGCAGAATTAGGATTGATTGCCCCCGAATGTTTGGTGAGCCATCATGTGAATGTTTACGTCTCTCTATAAATGGAAACGGTCGATCGGGGAATGGTATTTTCCGACTCTTAAGGTTGTAAATTTTCCCATGGGTTTAGAAATGACCAATCATCCACACCAGACAAATAATTCATCGTTCACTACTGAAAAAACAATTCTTTTTTTCCCGAATATAATTCGGAATAAGAAAAACATGCCAAAGAGAGAGATATTTATAAGTATGGTGATCGAATTTTCGTATCAGCATAATGTTGTCGCGAGTGATTGCGACAATATTATGCTGATAGGAAATGTGCAATTCTTTTTCAGGTTTAAGTTATAACTTTATGATCAGTAATTTTGTCACCACTCGGATAAATAATATATATTCTGCTAACAAATTGCAGAGAAATATTAGGATTATTTCTCATATTCTTCGTCGAGATTAACTTGTCTTGCCAAGCATGTTGAATTTTTTAAAAAGAATGAGAAGGGCGATAGAAAGCTATAATCTATGCTTCAAAAAAGACATTAGTAAGCGGAAGTCGTTGCAAGTTGCATTTGTATTACTTAATGTCCCAAATTAAAGATTAGTCTGAAAACAACATTTGTTTGAAATTTCTGAAAATGCTTTACTAATTAGACGTCAATTCATTAAAGATTCTCTTGTATTTATCGGTTGGTTAATGGTATCTACGGATGAAGCTACAAAATTTTACTATCTATTACGTTGAGTTAACTTATCCGAAAATAAAGGTAGAAAATTCAAATTAGATCAAACGACCAAATGAAAAAATCCGTAAATATTGATCCATGTCCAAACATATCCCATCTGTATCAAATTTTCCATTTATTTTAAAATTGCTTTCTGTTTCACAAAGTTAAGCGATTATTTCAAGCAAAAAAAAGAAGAAAAATACATCTGTTGTGCAATGTAAATGTAAGCAAACTAGCAAGATTGTCATTTCGAATCCTCCATTTGCTTGAAAGGCTTCTTCTATTCGTTATAAGAACTCTGATTTCATAAAAGTTCCGTGACAGATTCCAGTGACATATGACATGAAACTCCTGCAACAATGAATCAGTGCGACATTCTGTTTTTCTTTTCAAGTTTGCAAAAGAATTGGAGTTATTTCCGAACATAAATTGTTTAATAAGCCGACAAAGCAAGTGCTGACTACGTCAAAAAAAAAAAAAAGAAAAAACAGTATTAATTGTGATACTGTTGATGATCATAAAAGTAACTAGATGCATTGCAACATATATTTTAGTTCACTCTATATTTCTAGGCTGTAGACAGTCCAAACGAACTAACTCTAATATTTTAAGTGCCACCAATTTCATCTCTACCCTCAAGTAACAATCTTAACGAAAATTTCTGCAAAAAATGGAGAATCAGTAAAAAGCACTTACTTCTTCAGAAATGGTTCGCTTATTTGCTTAACGAAAGCAAATTAGAATTTTATTCTTCCAAGTTGCGAGGATGACATCGTTATTTTCTACTTAAAACTAACTACTCCAATCGTTTATGTGATTTCTTTTTCTTTGAAAACGATTGAAATGGTGATGGTGTCGTCTCTAACCGAAACTGACTGAAGCGTCTGAATTAAGATGATGGCTACAAATTTAGGAACTTTTTAACACTTTATTTTGGAAGTAATACTTATCTGCAATTTTTGCCATTGAAGGAAATGGAAGGCTTTTCAGAGGTAGTCATCTCTATGAACTGAGCCCTTTGAACTATATTAGGAAATTAACCAATATTAATTCCGTTAAGAATCCAAGCTGAAAAATATTGTAGCCAGACGGACAGTTTTCAAATAAATCTTTTTAAAGCGGCCTTGAATTGCAATTTTTCTCTGAATTAGCAAAAATTGAGATATGGAAAAAGACTGGATTAAAAAAAATAACTTGGAAGGACCAGAAGAGGGTGATAAGTTCCATTTGTCGTCTTGTCCTGGCAAGTTCACTGGTGGTGTTTTATATTTGCCATTCATTTTTGAATTTATTTTTTTTTGTTAGAAAAGAATGAATTAATTTGTTGAAAAAAGCAGCAAAACTTTTGTTTTGCTTATAGTGGCGCATAATTTTTCATAAAAAAAGTTGGTAAACATAGGTTGAAATTCTCATTAGTCTTTTACATTTGTCGAAGCGATACAACACAATCAAACCAGGTGATGATTGTTCTCGAAATCAAATCTTTGAAAAGCTAAATTTACAAACGGAAATTTAAAAATAAGTTCCTTTTCTTTACAAGGCAATAACATCTAACTAACAGTCTCTACAAGGGCATCAAGTCTCATTTTAGTTTACTATTCCAAAACGCTAAATGTAACTTCAATAAGTTCGCTTTAAGCGGTAAAGTTCCACTGTATATGTTCCACCAACTTCTCGTCAACATTTCAAAAGATGCTGCAACAACTATTTCGTTTCTCTTTTGCACCTGGTACTGTGCCACTGTTGCAACTATTTGGAGTTCACACTTAGCTAAGAGTTATTGAGCGATTTTCAGGGACTGCTTTTATAAATTATTCGATAGTAACGTTAGCAGCAATTTGTGAGTGCTTGTCGGTGAAAGGTCGGCCATTAACTAAGGATGTTGGAGTTTATCCATGGACAAGTTGGCCGATAGGAATGTCAACAAACCCAAATTTTGTCTAAGAAAATCAACTGTAAGCAGAATGCCACGTAAATCAATCATATAAGAGGTGGTTGGGATAATTGTGACTGAACAATATGATCCGTCCATCGCCCAAGCAAATATGATGACCTATAAAAGAGAGGAATGACATATCGAGAACACTTGCCAAGCGCTTTCAGGATTTAGCTTATTCATTGAAACTTCACTGTTCCAATTAGCGACTCCGGATTTAAAAAGGAATGTTGAATTGCAGAGAAATTAAGAAGGATGCTACAAATGTTAAAAGTAAAACTTAGTAATCCTTTGATTGATTCCATAATTCGATAAATCAAACAGCTTTCGATTCCATAATTTAACATCAACTGGGTTTCAAAATTTGAAATTGAAATTTAAACGCACATTCTACTAGCCAAGAGAGAAAAATATGCTAGCATTCTTTGATGGCACTCAAATTAACTGAAAAAGTGAAATTGTAGGAAATATATGAATAAGTTTGGGATTCCATGAATAATTTGGATAAGAACAAGAAGATGGCCATGAGAAAAAGAATTGGTATAGGTGGTGAAGAAGGAAATGACAACGATTGTATTGATGAGATTACAGATATTGATAAATGAAAGAGAGTGAAAGAAGGAAGAGTGAAGAAGGTAAGAAAGAGTAGAATTAAGATAGGTAATTAATATAATTGCTGAGAAATGTGCAGAAGATTAGGTGACCGCCGAAAAGTACCACTGAGGATAATTCTCTGGAATAGGGAAGAGTGGAAATGGAAGGAACGGATAGACAAAGAGGCGCGCCGATGTGAAAGTACGATAACAGGCACACAGTTCAACAGCTACTACTGCACTCTCACTGATGGATGGATTGACATGCAATAAAATGAGGCTCTTGAAAACGGTACACTTAATTTTTTTTTTTTTTTTGTTTTTTTCATTCTCAGTTTGTTACCGATTAACAAACAAAACGATGCTTTCAGAAACAGGAAAATCGATAATGATGGTGACAATGAATGATGATAATAGTATAGTGGTGATAAGATTTATGATTAAAATGATAATAACAGTCTTTGCCTTACTTTATTAAAAAATATGCCTCAAACATTGCAGATCCATTGATCGTATATTTTAACTGAAAATGCACTCCACATTAAAATTATACTTTTACTGATCTATTTACGATATTTATGATGTCATCGTTGAATAAAATCATGCAAAATTAGCTGCCCATGCCGGAAGCAAATATTCTGATCTTCTTTTTTGCTAATGGATATTTTCACCTAAACTTAACATAATTTAGAATTAACTAGAAATAAGCAGGTAAAGTAAAGGTAGCAATGGAAAGTGTTGTGCGGGAAGAGAAAAAGTTTACGGAAACAAAATGGAACTCCGATTTTCGGTGAACTCAATAAAAATCATATATGAAGCGTACTTTTGACTAGTATCTAATCTAATCCGTTCGAAATATGCATTTAGCTTAACCAAAATGCAGCATCATTTTCGCCGGAAAAACCAAATCATAGTTCATCCATGCGACAATGCAATACCATTTTTAAAGCATTTCTTTATATCAGTCACATTTTTGATCTATTTGAGAGCGCAGCATGACTTGCCAAATCTTACTTAAATGTCATCAGCTTCGTCATAAGGCGGTTAGTGACGAATCCTTCCGTTCATCTTCCGCTTCTAATCATTACACAGTTTATTTTCACAGCATTGAAAAATGAGCCAACTGAGGTAGGAGAAGGCGCATTCATTATCACGATGACAATATTTCTAAAACATCCCACTAATGTGAAAAAGCTCAAATGGTTGGAATAGAGCCAAAAGAAATTTATCAATCAGATAAGAAAAATTTCTCGAACCACTGCTATTTTCTTTTGTCCATTTTTTCTTTGCTTTGCTTAATAAAAACTTGTCCTAGAAATGGTTGATTAAAATAAAACAATGATCATGGTAAGGAGCAACAATCTTCCGCTTGCTATTCAAATCCTTTTCAAATTTTTCAGCATTCTAGGGCTTCAACTTCGAAATGTTGAAATTCTTTATGCAATTCGACAAGAGCTTTTTAAATATTGCAAGCGAAAAGCGAAGCAGAACATTTAGGGTGTGATTTTATTTTGGTAGAAGACAGTTTCTTTTCTTCGTCCCATTCATTTGGAATAGCCTAAAAATGAGATCGGAAAATTCGGCGAACGAACATTCGACGTGACGTAATAAATCTCTAAATGGTGCATTCATTCTCAAGTCAGCAAAAACCATGAAACCTTCTCCTTCCACCAATGATTCCCAATGTTGAAATTTTAAACGAATTGTGGAAAAATAGCAAATTATTTTGAATAAAAATTTTTACTGTGCGAATGAAACAATTACCGTTGGTATTTCAGTGTTTTTTAGTGACGTTAATCTCAATGATTGATATTGTTACTGTTATTGTTGTTATCATTGTTACTCTCGTTATGATTGTTGTTGGAGAGGAAGTTTTTAAAGGATGAAGTGATTTTAGATTGTTCATTTTTAATTCCTCCCTTATTCTATGCAGTGAATTTTTTCTTACACAAATACTGATAGCTACAATTGCACTTCAACAAAAGGAAGTATCACCAATGAGAAACGAGTCTTTTCCCATTTCTTATTCTTCATTCAACTCATTTATATTGTAAAAAAAAAGGGTATTTATCTCAAAAGGAAAATTATTCGCAATAAATTTAATGGTTATCCATTACTTCTCATCTAAACATTTTGACGGTAATTTAATATTACTTTCATGTTCATTTTCCATTTTCCCTATCCTAATTTCTCTGCATTTTAGTGCTCAAAAAAATATTCAAATATTCAACCAATATGGCTAAATTGCAACAAACATTCAAATTGTTTTCGTTTTCAATTGTTTTTGTTTCGCATAGTGTCTCTTTGGATGGCTATTTGGGGACGGAAGAATTTTCTTTAGTGTACCCTCTCTTTTACGTTTCAAGGTATCAGTGACCAATGATATAATTTATAGCTGACATACACATATCAACAATCTCCCATTTCACTTTTATGGATCATGATAATCCGAGTGCTGAGATTTATCAAAACTCTCACTACTTCATTAAGATACTTTACTGACTTTGATATATTCATATATTTTTTGTACAAACAATCATATCTCTGAACGGTAATAAGCTAGACTTCGGTTCTAAGTGATGATTAGAAGAGCAAGTATAGCCTTTTGACCGATCATTTCCTGAACGTTTCAAGTAATTACATTTTCGCTCTACATATAAGAAAATTCGGTTTGATAGATTTGACAATGAAATAGGTCACATGGTAAACATGATTGTGCCAAGCTCGTTTATCCTTAGGCTACTTTCAGTCATTTCCTCTAAGTTTTCAAACCCGAGATACATGTCGGAAAAATCTGTCGTATTTTCAAGTTCAACATATTCTGTCATCAACAGGATTCCTTCATTTCACCTAAAAATTCTATTTGAAGATCTTTATTGAGCACACTCACATCGTTTCATTAGCTAAGTAGTTTCAGAGCATAATTTGAATAATACAACGAATTAAAATGACTCAGTTTTGATTTTCCACAAAAACTTCAAGGAACACAACAATTGCAGAGTTTGTTCGAGATCAAACTCTACAATTTCTTTCGATTTATCGATTGTTTGCAATTCATAAGTCTTATGGATATCAATTTTTATAATTAATTTGAATAATACTTAAGTGGTAGAAAAGTAATTTCGGTGCAGATATATCCAGCATTCTGAATTTCTTAAAAGCTTCGTTCGTAACAGGAACTGCACCAGTAGTGAGAACAAAAAAACAGAAAAAAAAACTGGAAATAAGAAATAGAATTTTGTTCGGCTTTTCATTTTCGTTAACAATTTTCCATCTTCTGCTGATTGAAGTGCCCTAATACACACCTCGAATTCTTCAATTTAAAACGGAATTTTTTTATCCGTCTCTAATCTCGCTGTTTCACATAATATTTATAATGAAAATAAATTCTTTGCATGAAATTCTATAATTATATCAGAAAGTTATAGCTTAGATATTCTGTGAAGGCAACAAGCGCAGATACGTTGAGTGATAAAGTATCTATCAGTTATGCATTTCAAATGACTCCTACGTCGAAGTGTTGGTGACGAAACAAAAAAACTCATTTCAAATGACTAGAAATAAACGAATTTTCAATTAAAAAATGTGAAACATGCAAAAACCAAACAAATAGTTAAGATTGATCCGCGATATCTGCTAAGGGAGTTGAGTACTGGAAGAGGTCCGGATCAGTGAGGAATATGATGGAACTGTACAGGAAGAAAGGAGGGAAAAACAGGTAAATAATCATTTTTATATACTCTTTCTTGCTAATAACTTTCTGCTGAACACAGAACTATTATCAGTAGTGAAAATATGCATGGGTACCGATGCTCTGCCTGATATCGAGATAGCTGTTTCCAGAGAATGCTGTGGTTCTGGCAGATAGGACAGAAGACGTATTATCGACGATTCATCATTAGTGTCCGTTTCTGTCACCCTTTCACTAATTTGTAATTCGGTTGGTGATGTATCATTCTGTATTACCTGCTCTTCCTCTTCTGCACTTGTTTCTTCTTCCACCTGAGGCCTGAAATTTAAATCTTTATTATACAAATAATGTGCCAACAACATATGAACAGCCAAAACTCTGCAAGTGAAAAAATAGTATGGGGACATTTCTAAAACCATTCCAATAGAGCTTACCTAATAAATGGAGGTAATTTAGTAGCATCTTCATAGGTTGGTAGTGGCGGCAGATTTTCTCTTTGACAGGACCTTTCTGAAAATCTTTCTTTGAGTAGCAACAATGTATTACATACATGCTATCAAAACATGCAATTTTTTAAAGCTATGATCTATGTTGTTTGTATCATTGACCTCTGTGAGGATTTATAACATAAGGAGGTGGTCCTTCATTGGGAAATGTTATGGCTCTGAATGACGGAATTCCCGGATTTCCCGGTACTACCATATTGCCACGACGTGAACTAATTTCAATACCTGACCGTACTAAGGCTTCACGTCGAACAGTCGTAAATCGGTTTTGTACCTAAAACAAACGAGGATTGAAGTTTGGAACCCTAAAAATTTTGGGAAATGAGAGACGAAGATGAAAACGGAAGGAATGAGTGAAAACATTAGAGGCAAGTGATATGGTTTCAAAGAGATTCAATACCAGCCTCAATGACAGCTTATCAAATTACTTTTTTTTTTAATTTTCAAGGAGTACGAATAAATTAAAATTGTAGTTATACCTTAAAACCACAAAATTTTAACTAAAACTGCACGCTGAAACTTTTTGCGGAAATTCCTTACTATAATAACAAATACATGAAAAAGATCTTTATAAAATGTTTGCGAAATAAAATATGTAAATAGTAAAAAGACTTTCTGGTAAATTTCACAATATCTTAACGAACTTCAAGTGAGAACATTGGCAAACCTGCATTCTATGTTTCATCAACAAATACATGGAAAGAACAAGGACAGCGATCATTACCAGGCTGAATATGGTACTCGATACATCTCGAGTAAGAAGATCATTATCTTGATAGACATTCTGCAAATGATTATGAATATACAAAGTGAACTTAATCTATTATATGCAAATAATATGCATCCGAATGCACTCCTTTTATGCAATTAAATTTTTTATCTTTAAAACATTTTTTTGATTTGATTTGAGTAAAGTACTGAAGTGATTTTGTAATTTCGATCATCTTTTAGGAATGGACTTGAATGATAGTGAGAATTGTAGTATATTTAATTATTAATCACCTGCTTATCTACCATTGCGTCTTTGTCTCTGTATCATTTTATATCACTAGGTATTCAATCATGGATGAAATAAATAGCTCGATAATGGAGAATACAGGTCCACTCAAAGACAATAGATAGAAATTCGACGTGAATATACGTAATTTATTACTTGCGTCCCTTAAAAACTGTCTTGACCTAAACACCTAACGGCATTTCAGAACTCAGCTAAATAATATATCCTCGATATAATTAATAATTAAGGATTGAAGTGTTGAGCACTAATTTTCTGGTCATTTGTCTCTTGACAGATACTTTTCCTTAGTTTTAATTGTATTAAAAAATTTTTACAAGTAAAAGAAAACGCTGGAATAATTTCCATCGAATTAGTTTCGTCATTTGGTTAATTCATTTCTGATGTCCTTAAATCATAGCATTAGGACACTTTTCGGTGCTTATTTACGAAAACGTCCCTCGTCACAGTTATACTTTAATGTCATTCGAGGATTTTGAAACGTAATAAAAAATCCCCTCAGGCATGTCAACATTTGTTAAATAGATATGATCAGTTTCTTGTTTTTGCAATTGCTGTTAGTTGGGAAGAGATTGATGAGAATGCAAATAATTGTAGCTATCACGGTGGAATAACCTGCTTGGAGCAGACAACTTAAAAAGAAGGATAGAGATAAATGTTCTACAGCGAACCTGTTCTCGGTAGCCGAGAAATCGCAACATAACCGACGTACGATTAGCATCAATTTCGCAGTGATAACCGAGGAAATTCGGAGGACATAGGCATTGACGTCGTAACTCAGTGCCACCATTCAAACACACTATATTTCGGCATTCCTCACCTTGATAAAATGGCGTACACGAGCAATAATCATGGCCATCCGCGCCTGCAGAGTGAAATTACAAGTACTGATCTGAACGATTTTTAAATTTAGCCGTTATCAGATTTTATAGAAGTACGGCTCTAGACTAACAAGACACAGTTATGTAACTGATAAAAGCTCGTGCAATACTCTACTAGTTCAGTTTTCAAAAAAAAGGGCTTATTCACGACTACTAGGCTCATAAACGAATAGACAAACGCTTCTGAAAAGGACCAGACTTTGCAAGCTGAAGAATATCGTAAATTGGTGCATGTTTTGAAAGTATAATAAAGTGACTAATGAGTAATGAATGGCACAAGGAAACAAGTAATTTTCATTGTAGCAAAATATTTACTCAGTCTAATGTATCGTTTTGTTTTGAAATTTCCTGCCAATTATCAATTAAAACAACCGTGTTCCCCCCAAAATAAGACATGGTCTTATATTATTCTCTCCCGAAAAAAAAAGAAAGAAAAAAACGTGCCAGGGCTTATTTTCAGGCGATCTCTTATTTTCGGGAAACACGGTAAGGAAGCTCGGTATGGCCAGCCAGTGCTCCACGCGGCTGTGCTGAATGGCAACGAGACCAGAAATGGCTAGCACGGAGTGGGAGTGGGCTTGAGGCCTCACCCAGGCCGTAGCACGCTTGTAGGGAGTACCAGCACTGACTCCCTGCGGTTGCGGCAATGTCCAACTAGGTCTTATTTTCAGGGGAGGGCTTATATTAAAACTTTCCCTGAAAATGTCACCAGGGCTATTTTCAGGGATGATTTATTTTCGGGAGAACACGAAAGTTTCTTTTTAATCACTTTCGAATGAACAAAACTTTCAATGTGCATCAACGTTAGGAATCTTAACATAGGCAAAGGCATCATTCGCACTCGTAAAGACGTGATAGGATAGAAATTAATTTTGTCACTAAAATCACACATCAATCGAACTTATATGACAAACCTCTCATTCGCTGGCCTTGATCACAATATTTTTCACACTGCTCACCAAAAAATGGCTCTGGACAAATGCAGTACGAATTGGAACTGAACGAACGATGGCCCTTATTGAGGCATGGCTTGAGACGTCTACAACTTCGGTCCAAATATTCATGTGCTGACACTTCTGAAGAGCTGGAGTTAACCATAACAAAATTTTTCTTAAATAAAAAACAAATCTCACGTTATTTCCATCTTGTTTAATTAAACAGAACAATAAATAAATTTTCCGTTGTTTAGACGAAGGCCTAAAAGTGGGGAAAACAAAGAATGCAAATGCATACCCGGACATTTACAGACCACACCGATACCAGTGAAATCGTCAAAAGTGAACAGTGCGGAAGCGGATAGGAGATAACTGCCATGATAAATGCGACATTTAGAGTCGATCACCTCGTTTGCTGCATCTCGCGTTCGAGATCCAAAGTTACTGCTACTACTACTGGAAATAGTATGTTCACCGTAACGCTCGTCAATTATATTATCCGATTCCTCATGGGTCCAATTTCGAATGATCTAAAACTATCATTATCAGAACACAGTGTCATTAGTTCAATTGAAATAATCATACAAAGTTAACTTTAACTCGTATAAATTCAATTTTAATAAGTCTTATCCACTATGCAAAAGTTCAATAATACTTGACGTCCGAAGAATTTGATAAAGCTAAAAATCTACTGTCATCGAGTGTGTGAGCGGATGACTATTCTGCCCTATATCAACCTTATATATATATACAACAGATTTATCCTTAATTCAGTAAACGATAACACTCAGGTAATATGCAAGTAATAAGTTATCATAAAATCTGATATCGCTAATTTCAAAGATCCACTGTGTTTTTGGATTAAAAATCTTTCGAAGAATTGATAGATGTTATTTAACAATAAAGGTTAAATTATAAGCTTCTAATGCTTCAATTCTTAAAAAGTGTGAAAATAAAACTGCTTAATTTTACAGAACTTTTCTTTAAGTGATTAATCTAGGTGAAAAGCTACTCAGTGGATGAAAATAAACCTTTTATTACTACTGCTGAAATGACATAGCAATAAGGGGTGACTGATAGCGTGATAGCGTGAAAATACAAACTTCATCCTATCCAAATATAGAAGATCAAGTACCTGCGGATTTTCTGGTACTGGATATCCATCGGAACAGCAAATGATTCGGAATGGACGCGGTAACCACAACGAACTGTAACCAACTTTGGTTGATTTCGCTGTGAAATTATTGTCTGCAACATTACAAGACTTCATTTGGAGATCTGTTAACAAAAATTTTACGTCTTTTTTTCCAAATTTCTTCGCAAGTCAACTCGCGCATATTGCCGCAATAGCGTTAGACAATGTCAAAGCAAAGCTAAAAACATTTCCCAGAAGCCCCCCCCCCCCCAGACATTGTCATTTGACTGACTGATTGAAATCAGGGAATGGTGCAAAATTATTTCCTCCGAACAATTATTTATAGAAAGCTGAATAATTGCACGAATATAACTGACAGTTTTTCCTTTATATTATTGCACCTAACTTCCTATTCCTTTCAAGGATGAATATATTTAAATCACATAGCAACGCTACCATAATCAAAGGGTCAAAGATTGTTTTTAAAGCGCTTGCATCATTATTGGCCTACTATGAAATATTGTATTCATTCTAACTGAGATTCCCGATCAGAAGACAATCTCTTCGAGAAAACATTTTTTTTTCCACAAGTTAAACAATATATTTGGAAACAAACCCAGATTTTCAGCACTAGCAATAATAACAACAATGGAAAATGAAATAATTTGCGGTATTATCATCGCTACTATCCAGACAATCAAGCATCAATAAAGGTGAATAAGCACTGAGATGTTCCAAACTCATTAGTCCATTTGTAACTGAAATGAAAAAACGATACAAACTTTTTAAATGGACGTCCGAATGGCTTATAAAACGTTGATGTTACAGTCATCATATCTATGCATTTAAAATTTTGCTACAAAAAAAAATTAAGAGGAAAAACATTTCCACGTACCAACTACAATGATGTCGTTGGGAAATTTGAATAACAGATTGAACAACTAAATTTAAATTTACATTATGCTCTTTTATTTTTTATTTTTTGACACCAATAGCTGATAACTCTTTAATATCTCTTTTATGCCACAGCCAGTTGTTATTCCTGCCATTTTGATCAGTGCCTTTTACTGTTATCTTATTTAAAGTCAAATAAAGTCAAAAGGCTCATGCTGATAAATTTAAAAAGCAAAAATGGCATGTATGACAGTGAGTTCTGAAACGGAAAAAGGATGCCAATATAATCTTAACAATCGATTATTCATCATTTCTTATTAAGTTTAAGATTTGAATAATATGTCACATGCCATGGACACTGGATAAAAAAAATCGATGATAGCAAATATTGTGGCTGAACTGAAGAAAGAGAGGAGAATGAATCTGCCGTCAATCAAGTTTGAAATATGTAAAATTAAATCTATACATTGAATTCAAGCAAAAATTTGTCAGTGATGCTTATATCCTTAGCAACTTACCCAAATATCCAGTATAACCATTAAGATTACAGCCAGATTAATGCTACAAGGATCTAATTAACATCCAGTGAACGTTAGACTCGAATTGTTTAAACGATATACTTTACTATTTCGGATTTGAATAATTGAAAAATATTATCTTTCAGACGAATACCAGTCACTATTGAAACTTTTCGCTACTAGTTGCTGTTAGAAATAAACTCCAGCAGTCAAAATGAATAAGATCAATGCCTTCCAGAAATTGTCAACAAAAATTTTAACAAGAACCAGTTTCTTTACTAGCTAGCAAACCATTCGAGTAATGGAACATTATCACAAATGTTATTTATCGTCTAATTCTATTCCTAACTAGGAAGCGTCGAACAAGTCCAAAGTTAGGACTGAGTAGACTCATAATGTTCTCACAAAGAATATCAACAGAAGCAAATCAATATCCATTGCAGTGAAGTAATCCTCCCTGGCCCATAACAGTAATTTGTATTTCAAAGAATTAAGCAATCAACTTTGAACTTTCACTTTATGTACAAAACTTCACAAAAAAAGTATCAATTGATTAAAAAGGCAACGAACTGACATTAAGAGAAGATTTATGGCTCATCTCTAATGTCACTATATCATCCATATTGGTAAGAACTTCGAAAAAATGATGATATATTTTAAGAAACTAAAATGTTTTAGGTTTATGGATAAATGGTGTTTCAAATTAATAAGGTAATCGAAAGTTAATTTAAAAATTGTCAAAATTCTACAAAAATTCTCATCCTCCTGTTGATAGAAGGTCAAGGACATAATTTCAATTAGGAGAGCAAGTATTATGGATAAAAATTTATGATCAGTGAGTGAAATTCTTTGCCATATGTTTATTGCAAATGGAAAAGTTATAATTTCAAAAATCAATACAGAATTAATATTTAGCTAAATCATTAAAATCATTGTAAGACCAGTGTTAACAAATAGCTAGTCGATGGGTAATCTTCCGAAAACACTGCAAGGAAAAATTGGTCTTAGTTTAATCTTCTAGGAAACTAAATTTTTTTTAAAATTAAACTGAGTCTTCAAAGCATTTAATTCTGTTGTATATCTGAGAAGGGCTTTCGCTTAGCACTATGAAAAATAATTTTATCGACTTCCGTTAAACGAGAGAAAGACCTTAAAACAAGATTTTCCAGCTAACAAAAACTATTTGATATAATCTTTGTTAGTTAGAAAAACTAGTGAAAGTTCTAAAAGTTGTCAGCATTAAATTCGTAAAAATATTTCCAAAATTGAAAGAGAACTCGAAAAACTTTTGGCAATAAGAGAATTGAACAATTCGAAGATTGCCAAAGGCCTTCAAAAGCAGATAAGAAAAACAATGAAATTAATTTGCTCACTCACAATGCTTGATATAGTGTTATTCAAGCTATCTCCTAAATTCTGAAGTGAAATGGTGCTTTGATTGACGAACAAAGCAATTAGTAACAAGTGACACATTAACTGTCATCAAAAAACAGGTGGAAGGAATGAAACAATTTGAAAAAAGCTTCATCTCTATCGGTCAATTTAAAAAATTTTTCTATTGGTGATATTAATTGAAGCGAAAAGAAAAAAAAGAGAATATTCACATAGTTGAAAAAGTGGTAAAATATGATGGTTAAAAGTGATGCCAAGAATTAAAACCAGATGAAAATACAACAGTGAAGAAAAATATGAGTAGTACAATTAACCTATCTGAACACAATTAATGCAATTGATGGGCGAATTTTTTGAAACTGGAGAAATCAAGTTTTACCTACAGAATGGGAGCCGGTTGCTTCAGCTGACAGAGTTGTCTAATTTTCAACAAAAATCATTACATTTCGCTATTTCATCACTTAGAATGAATGTATTGTTTTGAATGTATGCATCTTAGTAATGTATGATGTAATAACTATCTCACATAAAACAGTAAATACAAATGAAATAACACAATTGCATCACAGTTATTTCAAGTATGAAAAATACACAACATTTACTGGTGCTTTGTAATTTAAAACTTAAAACTGAAGGAGGGACACAAAATCAGATACTTTTTTGAATACTTTATTGTGACATATGGAAATTATTTAATTTGCCAATATTGAAGGAGAGTTGTTTTCACAAATGTAGTGCGAATATTTAAGAGGATGAGAGGATGATAATGTTTGTAAACATTTCCATTTAATTCATTTTCAATACACACTCATTTAATTTAGGTCAATTTATTTCACATTTAAAAGAAACGTATTAGTTAAATGATCATTAATATGCAAAAACTTTGAAATCTTGAAAAAATGACATTATTAGTAACTTTGGCTTATTTTCATACATCGTCTGTGATGCACTTCAATAACAAAAATGGTGAGTTAAAGCCAAACGAGCTGCGATCACTTTAATTTTCATTTAAATTGCTAACGAAAATATAAGTATACAAGGAAGGAAAAGCATATTCTTAGTGAGCGCGATTCATGACAAAAGTAGGAAAAGGGCCATAAAAAGATCATTCCTGAGATTTTTCAAATTTATAAAGTTGTCTCGAAAATAATTCTGAAATTTGCCTAACTTCAAAAGCCTGACACGAAGAACAGCGCAGTACAGCTAAGTCAGTTCCTTTTAAAGTCCATAATTTTTAGTGCCACTCTCTACAAGTAGTTGTAAAATTGAAATGCCCTTTTTTCATACAAAGAAAACTTTTTGGGAGAGATTAAATTTCATATTTGAAAAAAAAAAAACAGTTTCACTGGGCGAAATAACGACAAACAATGGGCACATGATTCGATGCTCTTCGATGTGCAACTGATTGCTTCGATGACACTGGACATTGAGATCTTAAGTTCTTTTACAGAGAGACTCATTTTAATTTTTTTTCGTTTCTTTGGAAATTTCCAAACTTGAGACTATTTACGCAAATAGGACACAGAGAAAAGAATCTTAATGATAAATATGAATATTTGCTCATTTATTCCCAAGTTATGCAGAAGGGCAATATATTGTGACTAACAGAGCACAGAATACTTGTCAATTAATTAATACTTGTCAACATCTCATTATTGCTGATGCTAACAAATGTAAATTATCCATGTTTTCATCAGGAAAGACCACAGTTTAATCAAATTTATTTTGAATCAAAAAATTTCAACAAACGCGGAATAGAAATGATTACCAGTACTATCAGTAAATGTCTCTTATGGTCGGATGCAATGACACTGTAATGAAAAAAAAAGCTTCTAGTCATAATTAAATGTTGTTCACTGATAACAAATAAATAAGATTTTTGCTTAAAAACACTAATAAGAAGAGAGAAAAAGAGAGTATTTCTGAAGAAAAAGTAAGTTTTTAATGTGAAGAGCTTCTCGAAGAAATACATATCACAGCTATGTAAAACGAATCAATGATAATTCTTTCTGAATTTCTTGCAGAATGCTTCAGAAAAGCAAAGAGATTGAATTTAGGAAATGAAAAACAATCAATACCAATTGACACTTCGAATTATGCTATTACAGAGAAAATGAAAATCTTCATTGGTCAATGTCATCTTTTTCACTTCTCCGTGATAGTTTCTCTCTATTTAAAATCAGTTGATAACTCATTCTTGTTAGTTGATTGTTTTTATGACAAAAGGTAATCCCACCGAGAAGATGGAATCATCTCTATGTTACACAGAATATCGGCTTTATTGTGATGATAAGTGCATTTATTAAGAATGACATTATGTTTCATTATTGATTAGGCAGATTTTGTTATTCTTTGCATACAATAACTTCGAGATAGAATATGGAAAGTACTTCTCACTAAAGGGAAGTTAGTACCTGTAAAGATAAATTAAAACGAAAGTTATAGATGTAGACTATTCATTAATGAACTAAGTTATAGTCAACGAAAGAACAAATGCATACCAATCAGATTCCTATAAAATCAAACTAAGAAAATAATAATATGAAACTTAGGAGTAAGAGTTGATGTCGCGAATTCCGATTCGCGAGACTCCAACCATACCGCAAACAAACAAATAAATTTCTTACTATAAATAAATGTTAATAGTGTAAATCATTTAACCAATTTACATTCTTTAAAATTATCTCCCATACGTTTCTTTTGTTATCTTTG